GGAGTCGGTGTTAACCGGACGAAGAGTGTATGAGGAGTGTTCTAGGCAGCTAAATGGTGCTAAAGTTCCTAAGCAGGTCTTGCTGTAATTATCTATCACAGCCCTACTAGGGTGGTTGAAATTATTGTCATCAGGAATCTTCCCCAACCAGGCCCGCCCCTCCCACGTCCTCCCTTAGTCAAATTACGCCCATCTCACATTCCAAACCGGGTCTCCAGGGTCTGGAGTTTGCAAATGGGGAAACTGAGGCTCCGAGGCGGGGACCAGAAGAAAGCGTGGGTGGGGACAAGTTGGAGAATGCACCATCAGTGCGGGCGGGGACCAGCAGCAGAGAGCGAGGTGGGCGGGCGAGAAGGAAACCCAGAAAACAACACGGGCGGAGACGCGAACCAAAGAGCTAGGCGGGCGAACTCAGCTGAGAACCCGAGAGTGACGTGCACCGGGCCGGGAAGGAGAATCGAGGTTCGGCTCGGGCGGGGACGAGAAGCAGCGCTCGGGCGAGCGAGGACGGCGGCCGGCGCGGGCGGGCGCGGCCTTTGTCTCCTCCTCCCGCGCGCTCGGCGGCTGCACCGGCCCCATGAGCCCGCGGCCCCCCGGCGCCCGGGCCTTCCGTAGCCCCTGACCTGACCTGTCCTCGCCATGGCCGAGGCCGCCTCCGGCGCCGGGGGCACTTCCCTGGAGGGCGAGCGTGGCAAGAGGCCCCCGCCGGAGGGCGAGCCTGCAGCCCCGGCGTCCGGAGTTCTGGGTATGTGTGCGGCGGCTGGACCAGACTGGGTTGCAGGTGCCTGGGGAGCCCGCGTCAACTGCACGGGGAGGAGGATCGGGGTCAAACGTAACCTGGCGTGGTATCTGGACTAGGGGCCGGCTCCTCCCGGCACTGCGGTTGCGGCCCGGCGGGCGGGGCTGGGACGGTGCTTTGGGCTGGGGTCTCAGCGCGGAGACCAGGACACGCCCCTCCGAGAGCCCCAGGCTTGGGCTGAGCCCTGCCACCCCCGGGCTGCGGGATCGCGGCGGGCCAGGGATGCGCTTGAGAGAGCCTCTCCGCGAAGAATACAGAATCATACGATCCTGGGTTCAAATCCCAGCTCGACTGTGTGACCTTGGGCGCGTGACTTAAACGCTCTGGGCCTCAGTTTCCTCACCTGTGAAATGGGGGTAAGAACCGCACCCAGTTCCTGGGGCTGCTGCAAGGACGGCACTGTCATAATGTGGTGAAGCGCTCAAGGCTGCTAGTGAGCGCCCCATCGATTGTGGTTTTGGAGGCGGAGCTGGGCCTCAAGAATGAGTAAGATTTGTAAGGGAGGATCTGGGGGGATGGGCATTTCTGGAGGAAGGCTGGCTGGTGCAAGGACGTGGAGGGAGGAAAATAAGCCAAGCCCAGAGCTCCTGGGGCCTTGAATGCCAGGTGGAGTGGTGAGGAGCCCTGGCGGGGGCCGGAGGGGCCAAGACTGGAGGCTGGGTTCGGAACCTAGAGTGGCCTGACCTGGGCCTTCTACGCTGCCCCCCAGATAAGCTTTTCGGGAAGCGGCTCCTGCAAGCGGGTCGCTACCTGGTATCCCACAAGGCGTGGATGAAGACAGTGCCTACAGAGAACTGCGACGTGCTGATGACCTTCCCAGGTACCCACGCCTGCCCGCCCGCCCAGTGCCCAGATGCGGCTCTCCTGAGCTCTTCCCAGAGCGGGAATATGTAGGAGGCCTTGGGCCCCCTTGTGGCAAGAGCCATCGGTCCCTGTGCCCCTTGGCAGACACGACCGATGACCACACGCTGCTATGGCTGCTGAACCACATCCGCGTGGGCATCCCCGAGCTCATCGTGCAAGTCCGCCACCACCGCCACACGCGTGCCTACGCCTTCTTTGTCACCGCCACGTATGAGAGGCGAGTCCCCTGTCCCTGGCCTCTCGCTGAGCCTGCCACCTGGCTCCCCGCTCTACCAAGTGCCAACCATGCTATCCAGCTGCCCTGCGTTTGTCCCAAAGGCTTCCAGGTGCACCATCCTCAGCTCCAGGATGGTGGGCCTGGGCCTCCCTGTGAGCCCACTTCCTCCGCCTTATTCACAGCCTACTCCGAGGAGCCGACGAGCTGGGTCTGCGCAAGGCAGTGAAGGCCGAGTTTGGCGGGGGCACCCGCGGCTTCTCCTGCGAGGAGGACTTTATCTATGAGAATGTGGAGAGCGAGCTGCGCTTCTTCACTTCCCAGGTGAGGCCGGCTCTGGGCCCCCGCATGCATCCTGTGCCTATGAGTTCCCTGAGATCACGCCCTCTTCCTCGCAGGAACGCCAGAGCATCATCCGCTTCTGGCTGCAGAATTTGCGTGCCAAGCAGGGAGAGGCGCTCCACAACGTGCGCTTCCTGGAGGACCAGCCAATCAGTGAGCAGGGCGGGGAGAACACCAATCACAGGCAGAGAGTTGGGTGGAGCTCTTCAAAGACAGCTTATCGGAGCAGGAGGGCGGGGCCTAGTCCAACCAGTCCGGGGTTGGCAAACAATGATGTACCCAATAAGTTAAAGGGGCGTGGCCTTAGCAAAAGGGTGGCGCTTATCTCCTGAGTTGGGTGGAGCTCTGAGAGGACAGCTTATCATGGCAGGAGGGCGGGGCTTATGTCCAACCAGTTAGGGGTTGGCAAAGAGTTGGGAAACCAAGGAGCTGAGGGGGCGTGGCTTTAGTCAAAGTATGGGGCTTATTTCTGGGACTGGGGTCCAGGAGAGGCCCTTTCTGGGTCTGGGATAAAGTGGAGGCAGGGACCATGGACAGCACTCCACCTACAGAGTGATATGACTCTGGGCGTTGGACTCCCCTCCAGGAAACTAGCCACCCAAGTTCACTTTCCAACAGCAACTTTTTACCATTCCTCAGACGTTCAGGTTCACAAACTGAGTTTTATTTAAAACATGGGAACAGGCGCAGTGGCTCCCAGTACTTTGGGAGGTCGAGGCGGTAGCCTCACTTGAGCCCAGGAGTTCGAGTTAGCAGTGAGCCATGGTAGCGCCACTGCACTCTGTCCAGCCTGGGTGACAGAGCGAGACCCTGTCTCAAAATAAGCAAATAAATACATAAATAAAGAAAAAGATAAGACCGAGCGCGGTGGCTGACGCCTGTAATCCCAGCACGTTGGGAGGCTGAGGCGGGCGTATCACGAGGTCAGGAAATCCAGACCATCCTGGCCAATATGGTGAAACCCCCGTCTGTATTAAAAATACAAAAATTGCCGGGCGCGGTGGCTCAAGCCTGTAATCCCAGCACTTTGGGAGGCCGAGGCGGGTGGATCACGAGGTCAGGAATTTGAGACCAGCCTGACCAACGTGGTGAAACCCCGTCTCTACTAAAATACAAAAATTAGCCGGGCGTGGTAGTGGGTGCCTGTAATCCCAGCTACTCGGGAGGCTAAGGCACGAGAATCACTTGAATGCCGGAGGCAGAGGTTGCAGTGAGCGGAGATCGCGCCACTGCACTCCAGCCTCGGTGACAGAGTGCGACTCTGTCTCAAAACAAAACAAAACAAAACAAAAAACGTGGTTCCTCACTCTCCGGGTTCCTTTACATCCTCCCTGCCTGCCCCTACACCTACAGTTTCTGAAGGAGAATCAGATCTTCTATCCATCTAGAACTCTTCACCTGGAAAGAGCTCTAGAGGTTTAAGAGCAGGCAAAAAAAAACTGTGACTTGGGTTTCAGACAAAAGGGGGCTAGCCAGGCTAGGCACAGGTGGAGGTGCAGGGATCACCTGTGCTCCTCCTTCCACAGTCCCCGAGCTGGCAGCACGTGGGATCATCCAGCAAGTGTTCCCTGTCCATGAGCAGCGTATTCTGAACCGCCTCATGAAGTCATGGGTGCAGGCCGTGTGTGAAAACCAGCCGCTAGGTGCTGCCTGGGCTGGGGGGTGGGAGGGGAGTCCCAGCAGACAGGCAGGGGGTGACTGAGACCCACTTGTACCCTGGCAGATGACATCTGTGATTACTTTGGTGTGAAAATTGCCATGTACTTTGCCTGGCTGGGCTTCTACACGTC